ATATTAAACTCACTTTTGGGGGTCCTAAACTGGAATTAAACATCTGTGGCTTGGCCACTATAAATGTACTATACTCCTCTCTTTTCAAAAACTGTAAACCAGTGGCCATCAAATCTTGAAAATATTCTCTTGAAGACAAAATGTTTATTCAAGCAGAAGTAACAAGAATGTTAAGAGAAGGAATAATCAAAGAAAGCAGATCACCACAGAAGGCACAAGTATTAATAACATCCTCTGATAATAATAAAAAAAAAGATGGTCATAGACTACTCCCAAAATACAAATAGGTACACCCTCCTGGATGCATAACCTATACCCACTATTGATGAGATGATAAACAAGATCATCAAATACAGAATATTTAGCATATTAGACCTAAGGAGTGCTTAACACCAAGTAGCTATAGACCCTAAAGAAAAGCTTTATATGGCTTTTGAATCCTGCAGATGACTTTATCAGTTCCGACGGATTTCGTTTGGTGTTACTAATGGGATTTTCAGTTTCCAGAGGGTCCTCAATAAAATAATTCTTGAAGAAAAACTACAAGGCACCTTTGCCTACATAGATAATGTAACAGTGTGTGGCCATGACTGGGCCGACTACAACTGTAACCTAAAACTTTTTTGGCAGTTTTCAAGAAATATAATCTTACATTTATTCTTAGTATATATATATATATATATATATATATATATATATATAGCAAACAAGCTTTATTAAATTCAACTGACAAGGTCTGTTTAATTTTTATTGCATTTTTACAATTTTTGAATAAGATGTTCTACATCAGGGTCAAAGTTCTGCATAAACTGTCTGGAATTCATGTTTAGTTCAGGTTTTGTTCAAGCACTTTTTGACTGCTTTACTCATTATCAAAAACTGGGTGTTGTTGCCTGTATGGTTGACAAGATTCTATTGACTACACACACAACACACATATACATACTCCTACCCCGGATGTGTATTTTTTTATTAAATATTTGTTTGTATGTCAGTATGCAGCCATAAGCTTGCTCCCCTTATTTAGCAGCTGGACACCCATTCATTGTAGGATTATCAATTTTTCAGTCAGGCACAAATTACAACCTTTACCAGCTCTGTTGTATGGTATTGATTTGACCAGTACTTTCTCTGTGATGGTAGGTGCCTCCTTTCTGCTGTCAGGGATGTTCCAATAGTTGTTGGAAAGCACAGTGCTACACTTGTATCTACTGTTGTTCAGACTCGTTTTATGATTGTAGTATCATCTTTTCCATTTACACTTGGCAGCTCCTATGTAGTATTTAGTCTCTCCACCATTCTTTTACTCTGCAGTTACATCTGCAGATTTCTTTGCTATCCTATCTCTCCATTATCTTTCTATTGTTATTTATCATAATTTTAGTAAGGAAGTGGTAGAGGTTGATTCTTCTACTGAAACTTTGAATTCATTCAGTTACTCTTCTTGTGAGTAATTTTTTAAAAAATCAACTTAAATGCTTGAGTTTATGGCAGTTGAGACTAAAAGAGGGAGGCCCATCTTGATATAAAAATAATAATAAGAGTCCTAACTCAATTCTCAGGGTATGAATCTCAGACATTTTGAACTGCAGCTACAGTCATTGACTAAAATCATATTTCTTTTCTTTGTAGATGAGACAGAGGTCAGCTTTATTGTTGTGCATCTTGAGAGCGAGATCATTTTTATTATTGTGGCTTGTATAATGATATCAAAATAGTGTTTATGATGCATAAACTTTCCTTAAGGCTTTTTTCTCAGTTTACTTCACAGTTTCAGGCAGTATTTCCTTTTCCAAATATATCTCACAGTACATAACAAGTAACAAGATTCTCAATTACATAACTGATAAGAACCAATTATTTTTTATGTGGTCAATATAAAAAAACTTATAAAATTTGACAGATAAAAGAACAATCCCCTTTCTCATTTACATAATTAATATTACATTTCATGAACAGCCAGCCTTTAAACTAAACAGACAACTTTTGTATATGACTTTGAAAAGCTAGCTAAATAATAGTAGTAATATTTTAAGTAAGTTTTGTAAAATTTACCTGACAAGGTCTGTTTAATTTCTATTGTATTTTTTTAATGTTCAAATAAGTTGTTAATATTGTGGATACCTACCTACCTACCTACCACATTGGCCGCAGTCAAGATTATAGAGTTCAGAACTTCACACTTTAGTTAATTGTAACCTCCATAATCTTTTCAATGGTTGTATAATATGTGCCTCATCAGGGCTACATATGGTTTTGAATTCAGAGTTGTTCTAGACTGGTTGACAACCATGGCTAGAGAGCACAGACTGACCTGCTTTTTAATCCATAGCTGGGAGGAGAAGAGATGGATTTATACCTTTTCCAAGGGTATTTGTGCAGAAAGTGAATATAACAAATTTGACTGGAATTCAAACTTGGCTGACCAATATCACATTCTGAGCCACTAACCATTAAGCCACCCACACATCCAATTTGTGGATAAATTCTCCATTGTTCAATGGTTTTGTTCAAATACTTTCAATTGTCCCCATCATTATTAATAACTAAATCTTGTTAGTATGGTAGACATTCATTTTGCTACTTGAAGAAAGCAGGGATGGAGAAAGTAGTAGTTCTCTTTCTTTGGGCCCCTTAGTGAAGAAATCTGTATAATCTAAAATACATTGCTGGCTGAGCCAGTTGAGAACCCAAAATGAAGAGAGAATAAGACACAACCCATTAGTTTATACAGTGTTTGCTGACATCATTACTTTTTGGAGGTTATCTTAAAAATGGCTTTTGTTTACATCAGTATTATGGAAATTGAAGGGAGATAATTTTTATCAAGATATTTTACTTCTATTATTCAGTCAGTTATGTGCCATGCATGATACATGCTTAGGCGATCATATATCTTTCAATACATGACTTATGAGGCAGATTTCTCCTGCAATAGGTTGCCATTTCTTTTTGCAGTAGACCAGTTGCCATCCAAGGCTATAGAACCCAGTCTGTCCTGCTATTTACCCATAGCTAGAGGGGGAGAAGAAGAGGATTGATACGTTTCCCAAGGGTATAAGCACATAAGTGAACGTAATGGATTCAACTGGAATTCAAACTCGGCTCTGATTCCTAAATCTGAGCCGCTATCAATTACTCCACTGTGACTCCTCTATTATTTACTATTCTTAAATTATCTGTCTAATGGATGCTGAGAATATCATGGATGGAACATGTGAACTACAAGGAAGTTTTAAGGAAAATGGGAACAAAAAGGACACTTGTACTTAGAATTAGTTGAAATTTCTGGAATGCATAATGAGGAAAGAGAGCTTGGAAAATTTGTCACTCACAGAACATATTGAAGGTAAAAGGGGCAGAGAGAAACATTAAATAAAGTATGTAACAAACTTGTGTAAATGGATGGCAGAATAGGAAGTGGAAGGGATAGTAAAAAGATAGACATTGCTAAGAGCTGCAATGGTTAGAAAGTTGTGGAGAGTCATGATCTCCAATATTGAAGGCAAGTGGGTCATTGTTAAAAGGCAAATAACTGACCTAACAAGCTTGTGCAAATGGATAGAATAGCATGGACTGGAAGAGATAGTAAAAAGACAAACATTACTGAGAGCTACAAAGGATAGGAAGTTGTGAAGAGTCATAATAGCCTACATCTTGAAGACCATGACCTTGGGATCAAAGTGTTGTATCTGTTCTTACCTCTCAGCTATGTTTCTTTCTTTGGGCAGTTCAGGGAAAGTCTTCAAGCAATGCCTGGTCCTTGGGATTCAATCCCCGCAGCAGCACCTTCCTCACTGAAATGAAAAAAAAAGAGGGTCAGTAGATACAATGCGAAGATGAAAGATGTCGTAGGGACTGGGCAGTTTTTGTCTTTGGCATATATATGTATGTGTATGGATGCCAATATTAAAAACAACCTTGTGTTACATACTGCCACCATAGCAAAGCAAGTAAATACAGAATCAAAGTGTTGTATCTGTTCCCTTCTTCTTTGCCTTGAACATGTGAGCAACAGCAAAGTTTTAGAAACAATGTAAACTAAAAAGAAACTTATACTTAACATCAGGAAGAGACAGTTGAAATTTCTGGGGCATGTAATGGGGAAGGTGGGCTTGGAAAATCTGATACTCACAGGACAGATGAAGGACAAGAGGGACAAAGGAAAACAGCATGTAACATACTTGATGGGCTTGAGAAAATAAATGGCAGAACAGCGTTTGGGAGAAATAGCAAAAAGACAAAATTTATTTTGAGCTACAAGCAACAGGAAGTTGTGGAGGACCATGATCGCCTACATTCTGAGGCAACACCACTCATAAAGAAGATGTCCATTATAATAGGATAAATGTGAGGTAACTAGAATCAGAGAATTAGTGAAACATTTAAGGAAAGATTCAATTGAATTGATGTATATTTATATTGTTTGCAATTTTAGCTTAAAAAGAAAAGTTTGAAGAAAAAGATTGCAAAATAGCCAGAAAGGTAAGATAACAAGAATGAATCTAAAATGCCTAATGGTTAGTGTTATGCTAATTTACCCACACAAACATGGACTCTCAAGGCTATAAATAGGAGCAGTTACTGCCTTTTGGAGAGGAAAGTTTCCAGCAGTCAGCTCTGACAGTCAGATTGAACATTCTTGCCGTAACACTCTCGTTTGTATATGTTTGTATTACTGTTTCTGTTAATATATTTCTTTAACTCAATTCCTCTCTTGTGTCTTTATTTCTGGCTCTAACAAGGCCACAGCAGTTAGCAGGACCAATCTGCAAGTGTACTAAGTTTGATCCACACTGACTGCACCATTACTATGACCTTGTATAAAACTAATCTAAACTTAATAAGTAACTATATCACCATGCCATAGTATAGTGGTTAACAAGCCAATCTAACAGACTTTGTTGAGTTCAATTGTCACTGTGGAATTTTAGTGAACATTGATGAGAATGGTATGGAAAAATCGCAATAGAAAACTTTTTATTTTTTTCTGATTACAGATTAACTGTAAGATCCAAGAGAGATTGAAGAAATGTAAACCTCCAAAACCAATTGATGCGAGTCTGGACTTGAAGCCCACTGGGCCAAACTGGATCAATCCATGGAAGGTGATCCACAGATCAACTTGGCAAAGAAATATGTTAAAGAGAAGGACTGAAGACCTACAAGTAGGATGATTATTCTGATGAATTGTACAGATTTTCATTGCCACTGGAAACTACCTTCTCACATTTTTCTCATATAAATTGTTTGTGTTATGTGAATTGAAAGCCATAAAATAAAATATAATAACCCACTTTGAAAGTTCAGCTATTCATAAAAAAAAAGGCTTTGTACAAGTGATGCATGCCAAACAGGTAAAAATGCTGCTTTCCATCTATTTTTTTTTTATGCCTAGTTGTTTCATTATTTTTTTTTTTACTTTTACATTTTAATGAAATTAAAAGCATTCAAAATTTTGCATGGGATTTATTTTTCTTTTTATATATATATACTTTTTTATTTCACCACAAGCAAGGAAATAAAGCCACTAAGATGCAGAGGATTGTCAGAGAATATGAGAAAAAGAAAGCATTATTAAAAAGAGAGAACTATAAAAGAACAATAATAAAGAAGGCAGAAGATAACGATTGAAATTGCATTTAAATTTTTGAAGATCAAAGTTGACTAGAAAAGCAAGAAGCGAAAAGAGACTTCCACAGGTGAAAAATGTTAAAAAAGAAACTGTTAGCATAGAACTTATGATTACATCTAGCCATTTCAATTGTAAAATGATGATACCTTGCTGCTAATCTAGTACTGCACTTACATTCATAAAGTCTAGGAAGCAAAGAGGAAAGCTCATCAGAATAATTACAATTAAGAGATTTATAGAAAAGGCATTAAGGGAGCTATGTTACATTAGTGGGAAAGTGACTGAAGCCAAGATGCCAGGTAGGGACCAATAACATTGCAGATTTTTCTTTGAATTTTATCAAGACTCTCTAGATATATAGCAGAAGCACCAGATCAGATGTAACAACAATATTGAATGCATAGACAAATGGTAGACTTATAAATATGCAAGATAGATTCTGGCAAGAAAAACTGTCTAGCACAATATAGTGAAGCAACTTTCCTAGCAATTGATTCAATATAATGTTTCCACTTCATGTCAGCAGGAAAGATTAACCCAAGATTACACAAGAAGTCACTCATATGATTAGAAAATACAGTATTAATATTGCAGGCTTAGGAAATCTTACAATACATTGATACTTCTCTATGGCAAATTCAAGTGAAGTTTTCTGAATAATGTTTTTTTTTACCCAAATAAATTTCAAGCATGATTTTTTTATTTAAAATTTTTTTTCACCCAGTACAAGGCCCAAGAACCACTCAAGCTAGATGGATACTGTGTGCTGTAATGATCAGAACATGCTCTATAGAGCTGAAATATAAGAAGTATAATCCAAAGAAGAATCTGCAATGTTATTGGTCCTGACCTGGTATCTCATCTTAAGTAACTTTCCCACCACCATAACTTTGTTCCCCTTTACCTTTTCTATAAATACTTTCATGGTAATTATTCTGATGAACTTTCTTCTGTGGTACCTAGAATTTATGAATTTAAGCACAGTACTAGATTGGCAGATAGGTCTCATCATTTTACAGTTAAAATGGCTAGATGTAACCATAAGTTCTATGCTAGCAATTTCTTTTCTCACACTTCTCATTTATGAAACTCTTTTCCAGGTTTTTGCTTTCCAGTCAACTTTGATCTTCAAAAATTTAAATGCAATGTCAATCATTATCTTCTGTTTTCTTAATTCTTGTTCTTTTATTATTCTTTCTCCTTAATAGTATCTTTTCCTCATATTCTCTAATGCTCAGTAACCCCTCGCGTTTTAGTGGATTTATTGCCTTGCTTTGAGTGAAATGATTAAAAAAAATAGTAGAGTGTAGGATTGAGGACAGAACCCTCAGGAATTCTGGCATTGATCTCATGGCCGTCTAATAACCGATGTCAAAATTGGTAAAAGTGCTTTTGAAATGGTAGCCTGTTTAAAAATGGCTTACTGTGAAGATTCTATGAAGAAATCTAATGTTTTTGATTGATGCATGTGTTCAAAGGAAGGGCAAGAAGATTTCTAGGATGACACAAGATGTGGGCAGTCAAAATCATGAACAACAGATGTAAAGGTGGACAGAGAGCCAAACTGAGTATGAATAGGCAAAAAGTGAAGCAAATTCTAATAGAGGACTTGGAAATGCAAAAAAAAAAAAAGAAGTTTGTGAATTTCTGGCGAAGAAACCCATTATGAAAATGGGTCAGCTACCTTATTCACCAGACACATTTGCTGATATTCCTAACATACAGTAACACATGACTACATTACTGAAAGATATTCTGCAAAATGAGTTCCAAGAATGCTTTCAGCAATGACACCATCATCTCACAAATTGTATGTTTTCACAAGGGGAGTACTTTGAAGGTGTGAGCAGGTAAGCAAACAGGGTCATTCTGGGAATTAATTTGTCATACCTTGTGTGTGTGTTTGTGTATAAAAGAGAACACTGAAGTCAACACTAAGTGGCAGCAGTCTGTTTCAGGCCATGAAGATTGCATTCAAGCATGAAACAGACTGTCGCCACTCGGTGTTGAACTGAGAGTCCACTTTTATATTTGCATATGCTGTACTCTTGATATTGAGCACTTTTGCCCATGAATATAGATTTATGACAAATAAACTATATTTTTATTAAATAAAACTTACACAAACTCACATCAATCCAACCAAATGTGTTAGCTCTATCTCTAATATTGAGCGCTTTCTAATAAATACCGCGCATATAATATATAAATAATAATATATATAATATATTACATATATATATATATTTATGGTCATATTTATATACACACACACTTTTCACACACACACACACACATATATATATATATATATATATATATATATATATATATATTATGGAAAAGTTTTCTTGTTCCATGTTTTGTCCTTCAGGACTTCTTTTTTTCACTTTGTCATACAATTTCCCCAATACTGTTCTTGATATATAAAAATATTTATCATTATTTCATTCATATATATATATATATATATATATATATATATATATATATATATATATATAGTGTAACCCGGATATAAGAGAAACCCAGATATAAGAGAGATTTTCTCTGGTCCAATATTAGAGCCTGTGTTCCCTAAACAAAATAGACCAAACCCGGATATAAGAGAAACCCAGATATAAGAGACTTCTTCTCTGGTCCAGACAACAACTCTCTTATATCCAGGTTACACTGTATATATACTAGAGATAGATATATTTGTAACATTTTTTACCAATAAACAGATATTACACTCTGATCCTAGACAAAAAAATGTTACAAATATATATATATATATATATATATATATTTGCGTGTGTGTATGTATGTGTGTGTATATATATATATATATATATATATATATATATATATATATATATATATATATATATATATGCAAGTTTTGTTGAAAACTACTGATATGGTGCAGTGGTTGAGTTTTGATATAATTTCTCATGTGTTTGTATCATTTTATTTTATTTTCAGGACCTAAATTATACAAAATTTGTCCGAATGTTTTCCAAGTACTTTCAACTATATTTTTAACCATTATCAAGGGTGAATTTTATTTTACTTTTAACTGAATATATGGATTGTTTTATTTATGTATCTAGAGAGTTATAGGCAATGTTTTATTTTCCAAACACAGTCAGCACATTGTGGCTGTGTTCATAGTTAATGTTATTGAGTTTTGGCCTTTTCTTTTTTATTAATAATGCTTACGTTATTTTTAGCGTTTATGTACATGTGGATGATGCTATCATATTTGTATTATCAACAAGTATGTTACAGATAGAGTTTGGTAGGTCTCCATGTGTATTTAAGTTAGATTCTATGATCAGAGAGATGTAATGTGAGTCTTCTTGTGTCCAATAACAAAATTAAAATATGTTAGTAGGACCCATCTGCCCCACAGAAAAATAAGAGAGCCCACTGTATTCTGTTGCTAAGCAGAATCAAGTAGCTTGCTCACTATGGATAAGGAAGAGACAAAATAAATTATGGAGTGGAGAATTATCAAAAGCTGATCCAGTCAAGATAAAAAGAGGGTGGAAACAAAAACAAACTGGAGAGGTTGGGAATCTTGACATGCATCATAACAAAAGAGAATGTTGGGAACATGCTGGGGGTTGGGTGATAACAACAATTACTCACATTTACTAGGTAAACAAAAGTGGGAGGGGGGTCAAACAGGAAACTGCGCCCCCCCCAATGTGAAAAGATGATTAAAAAAGAAAATCAAGATAGGTTCCATTCATACAAACTAAGCTCCCCACTTTTACCAATCTTTTGAATCTGCTGATAACATATGCTTCCTGTCAGTTCTGATCTTTTTCTTCAGTTGATACCAAAAGAATCCAACCAGATCCTGATGAGAATAACATTGGTACCATAAGATTCCTTCTATCCATATTGTCTACACCATCTTCCTTGCCACAGCATCAGAAATACCATCTGCCTCACCACAGAGCATTGGGGTGAGACATTATTGCACACATATGTGGAATCAATGGGCACATGTTGTTCGAGATTGATACAAGTTGTCAATTTGCCGAAATGATCCCAGAAGTGGTGCACCTGAGGACAATAGTAGAAGGTGTGTGCAGCTGTTTCTTCCAAACTAAGGTCACACAGTCGGGCATATCTGCCTAATCCATTTTGAAGCTGTTATGGTAATTTACCCATACACACATGGACTCTCCCAGTTATAAATAGGAGCAGGTACTGCCTTTTAGAGTGGGAAGTTTTCAGCAGTCAGCTCTGACAGTTGAACTGAACATTCTTGCTGTAGCACTCTCATTTGTATATGTTTGTATTACTGTTTCTGTTAATATATTTGTTTAACTCCTTTCCTCTGTCTGCGTCTTTATTTCTGGCCCTAACAAGGCCACACCAGAAGCCCACATCATTGAGAGAATGAACAGAAAAATTTTTTATTTAATAGAAATAAAACCCATTTATCCTTTTAATGGGTGAGAAAGGTATTTGTACAATGCAAATTTCAGCTTTTAAAACTTTTAAATTGCTTTAAAATTTTACATTATTCAAGTGGAATATTCT